GAGAAAGCCGGTACGCGCGCTTTTTTTATTGATGAAATTCTGTTGGCACGTGTGTATAGAATTATTTGAAGGACTTTCGATGAACACCCGTTCTTTCGTCAATTATTCTATCGTAAACATTACAACGAAAGAAAATGTATCACGTAAGAAAATTTTCAGTTAAAAGAAACTTACGAATTTATTTTCGAAACTAGAACGAAGTCGTCAGAATATAAAATGATTTAATAAAATGATTTTCATAGCAAGTATTTATAATACTGCTGAGTCGACATGGCCGCGATAAAATGCGTCGTTGCTTTCGTCGATGCCGGCTGGCTCACGTACCTCTGTGACAGTGTCTTGATGTTGTCACCTTATCGGAGTTTCTCTGTCTTTTCTTGATACCCGAGAATGCCAAACGAGTAATTCAGTGGTCAGCAACTTGTGTCGTATATCGAGATAATCGTAATCCTACACATAGCAAAGAAAACCAAGCTATCCGTGACGCTCGAGCGAACTGCGAGATCTGCGCTCAGAGCCCAGATCAGCACCGTGCTGCCTCTGTTGCGTCGTTCCTCGTAGTTCCTCGACGAATCGGATACTCCGAGGACTGGCGCGCGCGATGCGCGCATGCGTGTTGCTCAGTACGTTCCCAGCCAGAATCTCTCGAGTCACGTCGTTGTGGCGCCGCCGCCGGCTGCCGGCTCGATTCGGCTAGCCTGAGTCGACAAAACTAAACCTTTCCACAGTTTCCATTCTTTTGTTTGTCAATAGGTCTGTTCGCGTTGCTTGTACTTTTTTATACGCAGCGTCACGCAACGTCTTCGCTTTTTCTCTCTTTGACATCTGTATATATACTTATATTCTTTTAAATGAAACATTTTTCCCGGGATTTTAAGCAATGCGACGGACTTAATATCGATGTACTTCAGAAATAAAACAGATACGAGTTTACAGGTAAAAGATGAAAAGAGCTAGTGAGCCGAAAAAATCCGAATTTATTTTTAGGTAGATACAAATCCTCTCCAGCGAAATAGAAATCTATAAATTTTCTTAAAAGAAACTTGCCTACATTGTATATACCGGGTGTCCCAAAACTCACATCCGTGCTTTTAACCCTCTATCCGTGTTCATATCATATATCATTGGTCATGTTCAAGACGTGATTTTTTAATTGACATTACTGTAATACCATAAAAACTTTTTAAACACGCTCAGGTAAAAAGAAACCCGCAAACACGATTAGATCTTGGAATGTCGGAGAATCTATTCTTAAAAGGACTTGGACACTCTCTTTCCCTCTCCCTCCCCTCTCTCTATCCCCCCCTCTCCTCACTCCCCCTTCTCCCCCTCTCCCTCCCTCCCCCCTCTCTCTCTCTCTCTCTGTGTATGTGCGTAATATGCACAATAGTATTTATAATAATCTATAGATAACAATTTTATTAAAAGTTTGAAGATAAAAGTTTATAAATTAATCCCACATATACAGTTAGATTATTATATCGGACACTCAAAACACAATCGTTATTCGTGCAAAATTAAAATAATTAATAAAAATAATCATATATATAATTTTCAATCTTTTAATAAAATTGTTATCTGTAGATTATTATAGATACTATTCTTTATATATATATACAGGTTATATCGTCGTTTCTAAGGCACGTACATAAAGAAAAAATAAATATGCTTTTATTATATAATTGAGAAATCTCGATTGCAAAATCTTTCGATCCGTTATTGATGAGATAATCCAAGATATTTCCAATAGATCCTCGGCTGTTTCCTATGTATGACTTGGCACATGTCTTTTGATAAATTTAATTTATTCTTTAATGAGAGATATACTGTTATTTCAATAATTTATATAATGAGATCCGTCGAAACTGGCATTAGACAATAAATAAATTTATATTGTAAGGTATAAAGGATATTCTTGTTTGATTAAATGAAATGTATTTGTATTCATTAGTTTCCATAAAATTCTGTAAGATTAAGATTTCTTCGTGTATGAGATCGAAATTTCGATCCATGAGATTGAGATTTTATTTATCGAGATTTTACTTTAGAATTTTCTTTTATTTTAGAACAAAAAATTGAACGGACCATTGAATGAAAATGATTGAACCGGAATTTAAAAAACTCAATCTTTCATTTATTATTATATATTTGTTATATATATAATAATATATAAAATAATGTTACGTTTTTGTTTAATTATCTAAATGCCTATATATAAATGTCTATATATAAATCAACGTATTTAGACCGAATTCATAAGATTCAACTTGTTTCTTATCTCTTTCCAATTTTAAAATTGGAAAGAGACAATGAATAAGAACCTCGGTTAAGAGTTATATTCACAACCGTGAGTTGTGGAACTGGGTCTTAGATTTATATATAACATCAATTTTTTTATTATTTTATTTACAAATGGAAAAAGTTTCTTCTTTATACATAAATATTTACATTTATTCTTTACTCGATTCCTTATAAATAAACTAAATAATTGAATGAAGTTGCTAATATCTCATTTATTGTATAAATTATTAATTTACAAAACGTTATTGATTTGTAGCAGCGGTATTATTAAGGTCGTATTTAAGGCGATAAATAATATATTTATAGCAACGTTCGAGCTAATTTCTCGAAATAAAAGCAAATAAAAATCTCAAAATAAAATTTTATTGTTACTCGACGATTTCAACTAATTTTTCAACTATTTTTTAATGTTACAGAGTTATAGAGATATGCAAAATAATATTATAAAATATTATGTGCAAAATGATATTATGAAATTATAAAATAACAAAATGATTTATTCACATTTTATTTCCAAAAATTAATAATGTTAAAAGCTTACATTTTGTGTTTTCGACTTTGATATCGCCTAGAAAGTTTTGTCTGTTATAAATTTGGATGAGATGTATGTCGGCTTATAAAAATGTATTACCCCAACTTCGGCAATGAAATATAGCGAAAGGTTATAGCGTCTGGTTTATGTCAGCAGTCAGTATTGTAAGGGACACAAATGAAATCATATGGCACTATACAGTGGAAAGAAAGAAAAAGTAACACAAAACAGAACACGTTTTCTTCGCTATGAGATTTTGTGTTTACGCGGCGGTCGAAAGATATATCTAATATTACTTTAGTCTTCATATATATATATATATATATACGTGTTTACATAACACGTTCGCGAGAACACCATTTTCTGAATTCCTCGATAAAGAAAGAGATAGCACAAAAATAAACAATAAAGGAATGTGATTTTTTAAAATATTGGTTCCCCCCAACACAGTATATCGACAACGTTAATATTATTATTATTTATTTATAATTAATTAATTTATCAATAAATTAATATAAACATACAAATAAGAACATATAAATTTCTAAAATTGAAAAAAATAAATTACTTATAAGTAATGAGACATAATAATTATACATAATTATGTACAATTACTACTTGTAATTATTCATTACGTATTATTACTCTTTAACAATTATTTATTTAGTTTTACTAATTTTACAAGTTTATAGTTTGTAATGTTTATATCCTTATATTCTTGTTTATATGTTTATACAAAACATGAAACATAAAATATCATATATAACACGATATGTGTTGTTGGACAACATTAATAATGCGGATATATCTATAATATATCAGTGTACATATATTATTTTAATGTTCACCAGATCAGGCCTGTGCGAATATTTTTTGTCATTATTGTTTTAACTTCGCGCTGAGATATAAAAGTTCCCTATCGCACATACGCAACTGACACTAATCTGTAAACGCTGAGTCACTCCGTATCGCATCGAGTTTCGTATTATTCTCAAAGCACCTTTGTTCATGACACGAATATAAACGCGATAAAAGATCAAATCGGCAATATGGAAAACTACGTTATACATTTAAAACGTGTTTTTAAAGTGCACGTAAACACATGATACAAATCTAGAGTCCAATGTTCATATGTCTGTATAAAATTAATTGAGTGAATAATTTGTAATTATCGCTACTATTCAATCTTTTTTCATTAGTTTTTTAATATATTTTAACGAGTTTCTCATTTGTTCACTTCCCAACGTTGATTTTAACTCGCACTTTTTACGAGAAAGAAACAAAGCAGGCAGAAACATATTTGAAATGTTTGAAAACTTTGTTAGATGATAGTGACGTTATTTATATTTAAATTATATAATAAGCACACAATAGATATATTTTATTGACTATATACTGGCATATGTTTATTTAACGTTGCATGTGTTGATGAAATTACAGTGACACCGATTTCTCACATTTCCATACAATGACAGTCAAACTTATAAGAGGCGCTTCATCATTTTTCCTTCCTGTGGCAATGCCCCTATGTCAGTGAAAGCCCATGAATTGTTATCCTTAAACAACTACTACTTCTTATTACACGAAAAGAACAATTTTGCTGAAAGAAGTGTCTAAAAACTTTGCTAGATCTGAAAATAATTTTGTTGGATCGTTAAAATAATTACAAATAATTAATTGACAATCTCTCAAGCATAATGAGCAAAAAGTTTCGAGCTTCGAGCACTCTAGCAACTTAGCTTGAGTATCCCTACATAATTATTTTAAGAAATATTAAATTTTCACACTTCAGCAGAGCCTTTCCATTTATATACAACAATTCTCTATGCCCGATAATTATTTCACACGTAATTCGCTTCAATCGTTCTGCGCGTCTCCTGACCTCCCCTACTCTAAATCAGTTTTATAGCTTTATCTGTCGTTCAAGTAGATCGCAAATATCAGTGTTGGTAATCCTCATTTGAGCTCTGCCTTGATAATCGTTTCGAAAGCGTTGTATTCTTCGACGTGGATAATGAAACGAAAAAATTGGATAATCGCGACGCGGCGCGAGCTGCATCATCGGTACGAACAAACTGCGATATATTCCCGCTCGTATTCCCGGCGTTATCGGAGTTACACCGTCATTCGCCACGAGGATGTGTACGTAAGCGTGCGTGCGAGTGATACGCACAGCCGCCCACATAACGCACGCGTGAAATACTTCAGTGTAGGTGTCTCGGCGCAAGTAAAGGAAAGAAAGAGGAAGAAGAGAAACGTGTGTATATCTTTCGACGCTGCGCGGAACGATAGGGGGCCCAGTTTCCAGTAACGTGCCGTCCGCCCGAAGTTCCGCGACACGCGCGCGCGCGTCCCGACGTCGTTTCGGGGAAACGCAGTCTCCAATTATATTATTATCGTCTTCGTCACCATCGCGCGCGACGTCCTCGCGGTTAGAAAAAAGTTCGGATGGAGTAGTGATGCGA